CAATGCGTAAGAAATGAATGAACTTCCAAGGGGTGATACATGTACTCATAAAGTCACAAGACGTCAGTGTCTGCGAAACTCGAAACAGTTAATCAGAGCCTAGATCCCCAATTTTCGCAGAAATTTGATTTTGCAGAACGGAATAGTTGAGTATCACAAATCAACCACTGTCTGTGAGTCTAAAGGAGAAGTCATTCAGTTGTTTTGCTTACAAAAGAGTCGGATGAGATTTACCCTTGCCATCTGTTCGTATTCTGTTTTTAAATTACCTCAGTGGAAAACAAATATATACCGGTATTGATCAAACTCGCGACTTTTATCAGATTTGTTTCTCCCACTGCTTAGGGATTCGAGTTTCTCATTCACCAAATTTAGAACTGCATTGCCCCACATCGGACGCAATATATTTGTAATATATTCCTTCTGTGTTTCTGCTTCTCTTAATCGAATTCCATTCAATTGCAGGATTTCTCGATTTCGACGCTGATTACCTGGTGCACCAATTTTAAAATTACGAAGTTTCAGGTAAAAACATCAATAAAATTTAGACGGTGAATGTTTGAATTTTCACAGGCATCAGGCACTGTTGATCACCTTGACTTATCACAAACATTTCCATCACATTTAAATGCATTCAACTAGTGGGGAATTACCGATCTCCCGAGGAGTGAAACCCACAGCCAAAATCACCAAAAGTGCCTGGTGCCTGTGAAAAACCGAATGGGCTAATCGAAACATTCACCATGTAAACTGAATAAGCCATTTGCACAAGGTGACAACCGTCAACTTTGTAGCTCAAGGGTAAGGGTTTGAAGTCTCAGGCCGGAGAGTCGCGGTTCGAGTTCTGACACGGAGAGAAAAAGTGAGCATCGCTGACGAGTCCCAAATAAGACGAAACAGCTGTCCACTGCTCTTTGTCACTTATCACAAATATTTCCATCGCATCATTAGAGTTTATTTAGAAGAGTAACTCATGGGCATGATTTAGGTATTGTCCTGTTTTTTTTCAATGTTCTATTTGCCCTCCTTTGTATTGGAACACTGGAGTTTGTTTTTTGCATGAAATCCACCTATGGCTATTGATATACATGTATGATCCTGGAAACTGGAATATATTTTCAAAATGGGAGTCATATATATTTATGCTACTTGAGATTCTGGACTGACAGACTATCACGACATCCCTCATCATTATCATCAGCGTACAGCGATATATAGCGGAGCGAACCTCACTGATCGTTGTCAAACTCGTAATGCTTACAAGGTAAGTGATAATGTGACGGACAGATCAATAGTTTTTATGGGATCGCAGTGAAACTTGAACGCAATGGACCGCGTTCCCCTACAACAGTTGATTTAAGAGTCACTTACAAGAAACGCATTTATAGTCCTTGTTCTGCGCTTTCCTTGTGCTTCGCGTAGTCAGTAAAAACATCTCGCAATTATGTGCTTCTCCTGATTATTTACATGATAGGTATTTCGTCTGATTAATTGAAGCCAGGAATACGAAACTGATAGGATATAGTTGTCAGATGGTGAATTCTCTTCTCCAAGAACACAGGGACTACCGGCGTGACTCTGAATGAGGTTTGCGATTTGACAATAAAACTGAAGCCCATCTGTTTTGGGGTCACAAATGTTGATCTCAATTCTACAATTCGAAGGCACAATGTTGGGGTCCGTCTAGCGAGCCAATCACGAATAAGAAGAACCTCGATGGGGAAGTTGTTCATCTAATCTGGAAGAATGCCATTGACAATTAAAAATAATAATAATAATCTCTGATACAAATGCAGAGCTTTTTGTATTTTCATTTTTAATTCCTTTTATTGAGTATACAAAGATACCATTTTCAGAAAGGCAGAAGCGGCCAATAAAAGGGGCAGCCATGCACACACAAAATGGTGGTCACAGTACAGTCACGTTTAATTCACCAAAGAGTATACGACACATTACGCCCGCCTTCCTCTCTGTTTGAAAATGTGCGCTGTGTGTGTACGCGCGCGCTAAAATCAGACCGGAATAGTGCCATTTTTGCAAACATCAATTCAGACAGACGATTTCATTCTGTGTGCACAAGTAATGTAACAGTGCGACGCACGAAACTGAGCGTGTCAACGTGTTCCGATTCTACCACATCGGGTTCACATGCAACTATGGGAAATGGAATAGCATATTGTTGGATGAAACAAAGTGTTTCAACACACACACACACACAAACTGTGATGCGGTCATGGTCTGGATGAATGTGTAAAAAGCAATGAAATGTGAGTACGGATTGAGGGAATACGCCAATTCATGATCACTCAACAGCTCGGGTGTACTTCAAGGTGCTGCCTTACTACCCTATCATTTTGCGGTTTATACATAGTCCCCGTTTATAGCATTTTAGGTAGGCTTATGATATCGCCATTTCCGTTTCCGTATCTAAACAATGAGAACTGGATGAATATAACTCACAATTGCCCCACCTCGTTAAGTAATCCACTTCATCCTATCTTAATCTTAATCCCGAAAAATGATTTGAATGTATTTTGCTTTAAACTGTTCCCCATCTCCCTCCGATAATGTACAGATTCAGGAAAAGCCGATGAGTAGGGTCAGCCAGGTGAAGCACTTAGGTGGTACACTTCAAAGTAACCCTCGCTTTACATAACCAAACTGTTGCTCGGAAGCTAAAAGTTCTCTCCTTTCAGATAAGACAACTGCACCGCTTCTGATCTGATTTGTCGGTGATAGAAGCTCTTGTTTAACAATGCGTTCTCCCTATACCCCTCTACTGCTCTCCTGTGATTTTCCCTGGTTTACTGAAGGCCAATTTTAAGTTGCTGAGGTGTGGCCTCTCAATGATGAGCCGTGTTTTCCAAGTTCCATTATCTGATCTACCTGACAACATGTGTAATGCTCATATTGATGCGTGCTTGAAGTTTGCTGACATCCTTCTACCTGATTGCACCCATTCTTTACACGCTCTTCCCATCTCGGATATCTGCATACCAGAGCTCTTTTCTACCCACCTTGTTCGGATATTGGCCGGGAAGGAAAGTGTTCGTTCTCAGCTTTCTAATGCACTTAGTAATTAACTCACATTTTCGCATATTCGACGTCCCACTTCTCCCCTCCCTTCCTTTTTTGGCTGAAAACTTGTGCATAATTCTCTAAATCTTCAACACAATACATCAATCAATACAACACAATACACAACCAACAGGATGTGCCCGTAGAAATGATCGGCCGAGAGATTTAGAAAAGTACCCCCTATAGAACAACCAGTGCGGATTCCAATGCACTCAATAGACTAAAAGGGCAAGTTTAATTTGTTAAATTTCCTTCAGTCTGATCATCAGCTGTACGCGACATGAACCTACTTCATCTACATGTGAAATTTCAAAGTCTTCATGAAACGGATTGGGATAATACAGTTCATTGTCAGTGAATTGATTATTAAACCAGTCGAACAGTGAATAGGTAAACAATGCCCATATGAAATAAATTTTATTGAAACTTTGATGATGAATGCGACTTTCACACTCGAACCAAATAACCAGATTGTTCGAATGCGATTACTGGGGCTGGTGACGGAGGGGGGGGGGTTGAGGGAGAGAATGATTACCAGCGTTGGAACAATCCCAAGGGTAATAAGTCAGAAAAGTCGAACAAAAACCTCCTGGGTCGGTGCCCGCTAGATCTGGATGTCTTTGTTGTCCAATAATTATTTTCTGTGTTTCCAGCAGACGTAGTCCGGGTCGGGTTGCTAGGTCGGCTTGGTGAACCTGGTCGGTTTAGTGAAGTCGTTCCACTTGGCTGGCTCGGTCTGTTCCATATGCCCGATAAGGTTGTTGATGTCTTCGGGCACGGTAAATCAACAGGTCTTTCATCCACCGAGGTAAGCGGTTGCGTATTCTTCTTAGGGCAACTCTGAAGATACAAATGACAAACAAACGCATAAATAGGAGTTGCTGAAGACACAGAACGAAATCCAATTAATGGAGATAATAAAACCGTGCTAAGTAATGGTTTGAAAATAATATTATTCACGTTTTAAAATCAATATATTTATCAATGTAATTGGAAAACCGTTATCATCTAAATCTGTACGCTTCATCCTTCTATTCACAGCAGAAGCCATTGCGATCAAACTGTTTGACCCCCCACTATGCAATCAGAAGCATTTCGTCCAGAACATATCATTACAATGGCCAGTCGCAAAGCGACCAACCGATGCAGGTGTGGTAACTGGAAGAATGTCGTAACCAAGGGGAAGCTCAGGAGCAAATTGTTGACGCATGTAGCATCGCTTTGTACAAAGGGTAATAAGATCTAGCACACAAAGGATCAAACAATATTAAATGCTCTACCTATGTAAATGTAAATGGCCAGTTGACGAATTTATCGAAAAACAGCTTGTTTCGCCTATCGGATTTTATTTTTAATTGGAAAACGCATCTCTATTGGCCTCGGTGTGAACGAAGTTAGGCAGCCCCAAGTTCCGTGGCTGTACGTTCGGAAGAGATTGGGTCCTCTACTCGTGGTATACAATCAGCCTTCCAACATGTTCCCATCCAAATGTCAAATGTATCAAGGTATCAACACACTGACGATTTCTGTGGCAATTGTCATAGATTTCTGCAAGTAGAGCAAGTTCGTTTGGGCATTCTCTTGCAATAGGGGTATTAGTTACCCGAGGGTTAATCACTACGAAAGTTAGCCATTTACTTGACTGAATACCGGAACGTTGACACAGTCGTCTCTGCGACTCGTTTTCTTCTCATCACCATACCTGTGCGCTGCAACATTTCTTTCTCTATTTTGTTCTCTCTGTTCAGATTGCTGGTGAATGCGATCACCGGAAACTGCGATTCATCAACAATTGGTGTTATGTGTACGTATTCCGGGTTGTACCTGGGTTTACCAGTGAAAATCAGAGATAACGGGTGATAATAGTGAATGCATAACGGAAAAATCTCAATCAGTATTTAATTGTGCAAAGCTCGGAGCAGTCATAAATATCTGACCTGGCACAACTTGGCACACTCAGGGCAAATCAATCGACCGGAAACATAGGCGACCGAGCCGACCGTATTCACTGGGATCGAACCGCCGCCGACTGGGCATTGATATTCTTTACGGTCAACCATTACAATCAGACCTTGTTCGGGGACGCATTTGTACTGAAAGGAGAAATTGGTTGACAATGAAATGATCTGACCGGTACAAACTAAAATGAGTTATTCATAGGTTGGTTTGACATGGGAACATATAAATGCGTTATTGTGTTGAATTGAGTTTTCAAACTGAAACTCAGGCAATAGAAAAATAATTCTGATTAATGGCCGTTCATTTTTCTGTTTAATAATGTCGGCCTTGTTTAAGTTACATGTGGGAAATGAAACATGTATTCTGTCGGGAAATATTCAACCCCCCCCCCCACTCAGTTCTACTTCTTCGGGAACACATGTTGTCTGGACATGATTGCTTTTCTTTAGAAAAGCAC